CATTAAACAATAACTCTCCATCACTCCATCCCTCCAGTCCTTGGGAACTACCATTCTGCTTTCTCTTTTCATGAGTTTGACTAGTTTAAATATCTCACAGAGGTCGATTCTGCAGTATGGGTCATTTTATGACATTTCATTTAACATTATCTTCTCAAGATTCATCTATGTTGCAGCTTGTGACAGAATTTCTTTCCTTTTCAAGGCTGAATAATCTTCCAGTGTATGTCATATCCCATTTTGTTTATCCACTCCTATCTGTTGATGGACTTTGGGGTTGCTTCTACTTTTTGGTAGAAATAGGAATTCAGAAACATCTCAATATTTTTGGTATATAGGCAAATTCTTCCCATTTTTGAGTATATGCCAGAATTGGATTGCTGAATCATAAGGCAATTCTGTTTCTAGATTTTTGAGAAAGGTTTATACTTGTTAACTGGAACACTATGCTCTAGACTGGGTTACCACAAGCAATTGTCAAGGAACAGAGTGATCACTAGTCATGAATGGAGCTCCAATATCACTGAATCACAAAATCCTAGAATGGTTTGTCCCTTTTGCCACAGTCCAATGCATAGACCAGGTGTCAATAATCGGTCTGAATGGAATGGTGAAGCCTCAACTCAGGAGTCAGTTCCTGAATAGCAGTATGGGTATCCATTATAATATATTTCCTTTCCAATTTTGGTAAAGGGGCCAAACCTGCACATATTTGAATCTCTTTCTTATTTCCAATTATATAATAAAGAGCCTGTTAAAGAATGTCTTAAAATATTTCAAAGGCTTTGGAAGACCCTCCAGTCTCTCTTCTAATTTTTCTCTGTCAACAATCTTTTTTAAAAAATATTTTATTAATTTATTTGACAGACAGAGATCACAAGTAGGTAGAAAGGCAGGCAGAGAGAGAGGAGGAAGCAGGCTCCCCGCCGAGCAGAGAGCCCAATGCAGGACTCAATCCCAGGACCCCTAGACCATGACCTGAGCCAAAGGCAGAGACTTAACCCACTGAACCATCCAGGTGCCCTCTGTCAACAATCTTTAGTGGCAAATACAGGAAATGGGTTTTTTTTGGCTTGTTTGTCTGCTTTGTTTTATTTTTCATTTTAAAGAATAGTACTTTATTGAATAAGTTTTGTTCGCAAAAAAATAAGCTTCAGTCTTTGATGATGGCCAGATTATATGGTGGGAAGCAATTTCCTTTGTTATCCATACTGATGGAAAGGTTTCTACTAAATGAAAAAAGTCATACATTCACAAATATAGCATCTATCTCAAAACATTTCACATGATTATTCACATCACTCATACAATGACAAAATATCTGTCATTCTTTCAGATTAATTTGATAAAATATACCAGTCATGAAAAAAATACAAAATCTTCTAACAAAAATTAATAAAAATGTACAAGACTGTCCTTATATACCTTAGAGAAATTATTTCTTATATACATACTCCTAAAAGTTTGGATTGGTTTATATGAATAAAATACCAAGTAAAGATAAAAAAAAAGTCATTTTAGAAATTACTCTGGCGGGACGCCTGGGTGGCTCAGTTGGTTAAGCAGCTGCCTTCGGCTCAGGTCATGATCCCAGCGTCCTGGGATCAAGTCCCACATCCGGCTCCTTGCTCAGCAGGGAGCCTGCTTCTCCCTCTGCCTCTGCCTGCCATTCTGTCTGCCTGTGCTTGCTCTCTCTCCCTCTCTCTCTCTCTGACAAATAAATAAATAAAATCTTAAAAAAAAAAAAAAAAGAAATTACTCTGGTTACTCCCATACCACACAGGTCATATGAGGATTTAAACAGCAATCATGGATTTTTTTAAAAAAAAGTATATATATATATATATATATATATATATATGTGTGTGTGTGTGTGTGTGTCTGTGTGTGTGTGTGTGTGTGTGTATAATCTTTATATATATAATCTTACCTATAAAACAGCAGTATACAAACTTCAAACTAAAAGTTTGTGCAAAGTAACACACAAATGTCCTAAATTTTTTTAAAGATTTTATTTACTTATTTGACAGAGAGAGACACAGCAAGAGAAGAAACACAGCAGAGGGAATGGGAGAGGGAGAAGCAAGCTCCCTGTGGTGCAGGGAGCCTGATGTGGGGCTCCATCCCAGGACCGTGGGATCATGACCTAAGCCAAAGGCAGATGCTGAATGACTGAACCACCCAGGCATCCCCAAATGTTCTAAATCTTAAGGAAACTTTAAAATACCTCTTCTATTTGTAAATAGGAGCAGAATAAAACTGATCTGATTGCCTTATTAGGTAATTTATTCTGGAAACTTGTTAATAAAGTATTGGTGGGAATTCTCAATCTTCATTATGCTGTCACCTGAAGCACTCAATCATTTTCTTCAGTAAAGGAATAAGTAAACGAATAGACTACATGTCAGTTACCACATGTTACAACCAGTCTAACTCTGACAATAACAGGAGTGGCCACAAAGTGCCTCAGAGTCAGCTGTGTCTTGAATTTCTCACTGAAGGATTGGGCCAATCTACCTTTGGAACAATTTTATCAGTAGACAGAAACAATAAATGTCTTTTATCCTGTTTTCTTAAAGTCTGTATCACTAGTCTTTAATAAATAACAATGAGATAGCTCTAGCAGATGAAGCAGGAAGGGAACTATGTTCTAGAAGAAGCATTTATCTGTCTTTGATACAAGCTTCTCAATTAATTCCTGAAGAGGTGCCAACTCATGCCTATCAATCAGATTAAACTCCTGAACAAAGGAAATAAAGGGCTTAAGGGAGGTGTTGAGGTTGCATCACAGAATCAAACTGCTGGTGATAAATATGCATAAACCCAGAACAAATCCCTTGAAGGGTCTTTGCCATAGACATAAAGTTTTTTGGAAAGGGGACACCAATCTTGGAAGGCAAAAGACTTTCATCATCAAGCTGATCCTGAACCCAAACCTTTGATTGGCTTTTTGATATTAGTACCATTTTCCCAGTAGATATTCATATCTTGGACCTGCAGACATGACTGGACAGCTTGCTTCAGTGCAGAATTCTGTAATAGTTCCATACAGCATGTTGATCTGGTTGAAGAAATCTACAGTGTTAGCTGAAATCCATTCACCTAGGTCCCCTCCCTCTGGCAACGTAAGAGCTTGTCTCATATTTCCACTTCCTAGAGTTGCTTCTGCCTGTTTTAAGAGCTGATGAGAGCTGGAGAGAGCTGATGAGAGCCCTCAGGCATATTCTTCTTTGGTTTGAATACTTCAGAGGAGTGGCGGCTGAAGAGATAGCTCAACTTCTATCCTCAGAGGAGAGGGACCGCTGGCCCCCAACACTGTCTGGATTCAGAGTCCAGGCAGGAATCACAAGGAAGCAAACAATCCTCAACTCTTTGCCCTCGAAAGTACTGGGTGCCCCTGCTAGCAGGAGCAAGTTGCTACGCAGACCTCCCCCACCTTGCTGACCTGAAAATCAGGGAACAGGTTTTTTTCTGTCATCTATCTCTGTGTTCAGAAATATTAGCTCTGGCATCAAGTTCTTGATACTTTTGAGCTTACTTTATTTTTGTTTTTATTTATTTTTAAATATTTTACTTACTTAATTGAGAGAGAGAGAGACAGAGAGGGAGAGAGATACAGAGCACAAGCAGAGGGAGCTGAAGGCTCCCTGATGAGCAAGGAGCCACATGTCAGACTTGATCCTAGGACCCTGGGATCATGACCTGAGCAGAAGACAGCTGCTTAACAGACTGAGCCACCCAGGTGCCCCTTGAACTTCTTTATTATTTGTAAATTTGGGAGAATGATATCTTTTTTAATATTTTGTTGTGACAACGTATCGGTAATATATCTGAAGAGATTTGCACGTAGTGGATGAACAATTTAGGAAGGTACCTCAATAGGTACAGAAGAAGTGTCTGACAAATCCAGATTCATTCCTGAGAGAAACTCCCAGGGAATAAGGAATTGCAGGAAATTTCCTTAATGAAAAAGGGCTCAACCGAAAACCTACATCAAATGTCATAGTTGGTGGTGAAAACCTAAATGCTTTCTCCTTAGTTTCAGAAATAAGGGGAGAGTTTTGACTCTCACCACTTGTATTTCATATTGAAGTAGAGGTTCCAGCCAATGCAATACAGCATGGAGAAGAAACAAACGCCAGACAGTCTGGAAAGGGGGAAGTGAACTTATGTTTTAACAGCCAACATAACCATCTGAGCAGAAAACTCAAGAGAATCTGTAAAACAGCTACTAGAACAAATTGGTTTAAGAAAGTCAAATGTATGCCTACCATATGACTCACCTGTTGTACTCCAGAAATTGATCCAAGAGAAATGAAAGCATATGTCTATAAAACATCTTATACACAAATGTTCATAGCAGCTTTATTTGTAAGAGCCTCACTGGGATTAATCGAGATGGTCAGCAACAGGTGAATAGACAAGTTGTTTTTTAGGCACATGATGGGGTACTGCACAGCAACAGAAACAAAGTCTTGATAAATATGACTATGGAAGAATCTCATAATAATTATGCTGAGAAGAAGCCAGGCAAAGATACATATGATTCCATTTATAGAAAAAGATAAAATATGCAAACTAATTCCTGACAGGAGTTTCCCTGGAAATGGGGATAAGGAGGGTTGAGAGAAGATTACAAAGTGATATGAAGAAACTTTTGGGGTGATGTATATGTTCATTTTCTCAATTGTAGTGGTGGCTTCACAAATAGATACATACAACAAGTCATATAGAATTGTTGAATTTGCTGCACTTTATTGTTATGTAAATTATGTATTAACAGAGCCATTCAATATCATTCTATGCACTATTTTCCCTCACTGCGGTGCCAGTCTTCTTGTGTAACGTAAAATGCAAAATACTTCTCCTGTAGGCTTTCATTGGCCTAAAACTATATATATATATATATATATGTATATATATATATATACATATATATATATATATTTAATTTATGCCTAATGACTTTCTGCATCCAAGTGTTATACTGTTTATTTTCTTTTTCATTTTTTTTTTTTTTACAAAAGTTTATTCTTAAATGTACAACAGGATCTAAGACAACACTTCATTCCAGCTATAGGTAGCAACAGATGCTATGACAGGGAATCCAGATGTTTAAACAGGAATGGAATTAAGGATCATCATTGCCTCGGGCACAAGAACAGCTTACTTTTTGCCAGATTTCTTAATTCCACCTGTGGCCAGGAGACCCTTCCCCGCGGCCTTTGCTTTTAGCTCCTCGAGTTTCTTCTGCTCCTCCTTCTGTTTCTGCTTGAATGCCTTATCTTCCTCGTCCATCTCCTTGGCCTGTTTCTTGGGCTGCTTCAGGGGCTTCTTCTTGCCACCTTCGCGGCCGGACATGGCGCCTGCCGCCTATACTGTTTATTTTCAACCAGCATCATCCTAACCTATTTAGCATTGTCCCAGCAGATCTTTTTTTTTTTTTTTAAGATATTTATTTATTTGACAGAAAGATACAGTGAGAGAGGGAGCGTAAGCAGGGGAGAGGGAGAGGGAGAGGGAGAAGCAGGCTTCCTGTTGAGTAGGGAGCCTGAGGTGGAGCTTGATCCCAGGACCCTGGCACCATGACCCCAGTGTAAGGCAGACGCCCAACTACAGAGCCACCCACGTGCCCCATCCCTGCCTATCTGAACAGATGTTTGTAGTGGCTTGTTTAAAACTGCTTTCTAGCATAATTTTGAGGCAGGTTCTGACAATGTGATTTGGAAGGGGAAGGGGAAGGGAAGGGATACCTGAATGGAAACAGTATCCAGGCCTGAATTTCTTACTTTACTTGTATCTGGGAAACCGTTCCCATGTTGACTATGGACTCTGATGTTCCTCAACCTGAATGTTCGGGCAATAGCCTTCAGGAAACAGCTGAGCTAAGCTTCCTAATGTGTCTAGAGTATATGTTTACAGGGCTTTAGAGAAGATTTGGCCGTTTCTAGAACTTTTCTCTGATAATCCTGATTTCTTTCCTTTTGAGAAAAATTATTTGATTAATGTTTGGCAACAAAATGTGTCAGATGGATGATAATAGAAAGCATCCTTGAGGTTAAACCTATTAAGAAGATAGGATTAGTATTTGTTGCTGAATTCACATACAGTAGTCACCTTATGTTGGAGTCAATAAAACTGTGAGAACATAAACTCTCAAATCATTCTATAGGGATTTGATGACTCTGTGTATGAGTTTATTCTGTCTAAAATTCCTATTTTTCACTTTTTAATTATTCTAAAAATCAGGAATATTTTACTATTAGATAGTGTGACTTCTGAAACTTTTTATTAAAAATAGTATTTATTGCAATTGCTAATAGTTTAGGAATAAGTAAATAAGGCATTTTAAATAAATGCTATTTGTTCATTATTTTTGTTTAATTTAAAAATATTTAGTGAGTACTTAAAAAATGACAGTCACAGTTCTAAATATTGTGTAAAGTGCCAAAAACACAGAATCAGTCACCAATGACTTGACTTCCTCTTACTTTTTCTGAATTCAACTCCAGCTCCTTTTCTGGCAGTCAGTAGGTAATAGGCCAGCCCACATGGACACATGAGAATATGAAGTAGTGTAGTAAAATGCTTCTGAAGATTGTTACCCTCCCAGCTACAGAAATGCCCTGGGATGCTGTGTTAAAGAAGTTCCATATCAGGCAGTGTCTTAAGAACAAAAAAGACCTGGGAAGTTAGGATTGCTGTTGTTCAGACTTCCAAGGGCCACCTGAAGCCTGACATGTGCCTCATGAGGTCAGGGGTGAAACAGATGGCTGCCTTGGGGAGGATTCTGGGCAACATGTATGCATTTTAGTCCCTGTCCACCAGGGGGTGCAGCTTCCTACCACGGTCTCATTTCCTGTATGAAATGTGGGTTTCTATTGATCATTTCTGTCAATCCAACCTTCTCCATAGTAAGAATGAAGAACATTATTTAGGTGACACTCCAAAGATGAAGTGTTTTTCCAGGCTTCGTGAGTGTGGTACTCTTAATGCTTGGTAAGTACCATTCCTCTTACAATTTGGATTCTTTCTTCCATGGTGTCAGTTAAACCTTTAACTATCATTTATCCATGAGTTTTATGCCCAAGGTGACACAGATCTCCTTTCTCTTTCTTCAGGACAAACCCATGGAGACTCAGTGACTCAGACAGAAGGCCAAGTAATTCTCTTAGAAGAGGCTTCTCTGTGAACTGCACTTATTCAGCATCAGGATCCTTACTCTTTTCTGGTATGTCCAGTATCCCGGTGAAGGTCTACAGCTCCTCCTGAAAGCCTTGAGGGACAAGGAGAAGAAAAGCAACAAAGGATTTGAAGCCACCTTTGATGGCAAATCGAAATCCTTCCACTTGGAGAAAGGCTCAGTGCAAGCCTCAGATTCAGCTATGTACTACTGTGCAGTGACTGACACAGTGACGGAGACTGTAGGGGGAGCTGAACACAAACTCTGAGCAGAACAGGGGACTGGAAGCTGAGTGTCTTTGCCTGATGCACTATGGTTCCATCACAATCTGTTGTTTGTCCCTCAGTGTCTGGTTGATACAAAATCATACAAAGGACTAGAGCATAAGAACCAGCAGTAACATTCCCCAAACCCAGGTGTTCCTTAGTGACCTTGAAAATAGTTCAATGCCAAGAGTTCCTCAGCCAGGGTGTACCTAATTTCAAGGCAGAATTACATAACAAAGAAGTGGTCTTGTAGTGCCCACTAGGTCAAGTGTCTGACTCTTGATCTGCTCAGGTTATGATCTTAGGTTTGTGTGATTGAGCCCCAACATCAGGTTCCTGCATGTTGGGTTGGAATTCTGCTTCTCTCCCTTTTTCCCTGTCCTTCTGCCCTCCCCCATTGACTCTGTCTTTCTCTCTCTCCAAAATAAATAAATCTTTAAAATAAACAAACAGTTATGGATGAATTGGTCTCTCGTTCATCTTTGCAGTGAAATTCCAGGCTGAGAAGTAGTTCAGGCCACCCTGGTGGGTGTTGCTGTGTCCATGACACTTCTAGATACACACAGTGTGAATTGGAAGGTGGCCTCTGACAAATATCTTCCTGACCGAGTATAAGCAGGAGAGGTGATGGGAGAGCTTCAGTGCAGAGCCAATTTTATTAGAAAAAGATTGGAACAGAAGAAAGGAGGAGGAACACATGTACCTGAGCAAGGAAAGAGAGGCCAGCCACCTCTGCCATGGTTTCTTTTCTAGTAAATCAGGTCATAGACATAGACTGATATTCAACATGAAGGGCTGGTGGCAGTAACAGAATGAAGGTAGAGGTTCATGTTCTGGCCAGATAATTAGCTCAGTTGGCTTTCTGATGGTAAGAACTCAAGTGAGATCATTCTTAGTGCCCAGGAAATATGGTGACAGAAAGTGCTCTTGCACTGAGGTTTCCTAACAATACAGATTGATAGGTGATACTGGGCAGAAAACCTATAGATTTCCCTAACTTTTGTTTTGCAATGTCTCACAGAGAGCCATAAATCAGGGAATTGGGAAAATGCAAAGGAGTCAAGAATGTCATACAGAAAGTAATAGAGACCTGAGTATGGACCCTCAACTCTATGGTCAACTAATCTTTGACAAAGCAGGAAAGAATGTCCAATGGGAGAAGGACAGTCTCTTCAATCAATGGTGCTGGGAAAACTGGACAGTCACATGCAGTAGAATGAACCTGGACCACTCTATTACTCCATACACAAAGATAAACTCAAAATGGATGAGAGACCTACATGTGAGGCAGGAATCCATGAAAATCCTAGAAGAGAACATCAGCAGAGTAACCTCTTCAACATCGGTCACAGCAACTTCTTTCAAGATAAGTCTCTAAAAGTAAGAGAAACAAAAGCAAAAATGAACTTCTGGGACTTCATCAAGATAAAAAGCTTTTGCCCAGCAGAGGAAACAGTCAACAAAAGTAAGAGGCAACCCACGGAATAGAAGATATTTGCAAATGAGATTTCAGATAAAGGGCTGGTATTCAAGATCTATAAAGCACTTTTCAAACTCAACCTCCAAAAAATAATAATCAAGTCAAAAAATGATTGGAAGACATGAACAGACATTTCTTCAAAGAAGACATACAAATGGCTAACAGACACATGAAAAAATGTTCAATATCACTAGCCATCATTGAAATACCAATCAAAACCACAGTGAAATACCACCTTACACCAGTCAGAATGGCAAAAATTAACAAGACAGGAAAGAACAAGTGTTGGTGATGATGTGGAGAAAGGCAAACCCTCTTGCACTGTTGGGAATGCAAGCTGGTATAGCCACTCTGGAAAATAGAATAGACGTTCCTCAAGACATTAAAAATAGAGCTAACCTACAACACAGCAATTGCACTATGAGGTATTTATTCTAAGGATACAGATGTAGTGAAATAAGGGGCACAGGCACCCCAATGTTCATAGCAGCAATGTCTACAATAGCCAAACTGTGGAAGGAGCTTAGATGTCCTTCAATAGATGAATGGATAAAGAAGATATGGCTCATATCTGTAATGGAATATTACTCAGCCATCAGAAAAGATGAATACCTACCATTTGCACTGACATGGATGGAACTGGAAGGGATTATGCTAAGTGAAATAAGTCAAGCTGAGAAAGACAATTATCATATGGTTTCACTCATATGTGGAATATAAGGAATAGCCTGGAGGACCACAGGGGAAAGGAGGGAAAAGTGGATGGGAAGAAATCAGAGAGGCAGACAAACTGTGAGAGACTCTGGACTCAGCGAAACAAACCAAGGGTTACAGAACGGAGGGATGGGGTAATTAGGTGATGGGTATTAAGGAGGGCATGTGTTGTGATGAGCACTGGGTGTTATATGCAACTAATGAATCCTTGAACACCACATCAAAAACTAATGATGTACTATATGTTGGCTAACTGAACATATGAAAAAACATAATAAAAAAAAAGCAATGTTTGTATTGTACTGCATCACTTTGCCAATATGGTTGCAATCTTCTTCGTTTTTTAAGTATTTTTTAATGACTTCTTTATTTTAGGAGGACTTACAGAAAGGTATACCCAAAATGTTTATTTGTGTTATAACAATGTTTAAATAAAATACGGTCCATTTCCTAGTGATTGAAATCTAGTAAAACACCTTGAAACATCAACTCCAAATTATCAAGATGAGGAACGCTTAGGGTAGTAAGTGACAAAGGGTCAGAACTGGGATTGTTAGTCAAAAGGGATTTTAGTCTATAGGTAGTAATGACTTTAATAATTCATACTGCTTTTGTTAAAAGTAATAAAAAGTCATAAAACCCTTCATAAAGGTTTATGCATATTCCCTTCTATTCTTGTCACCAAAAAAGGGGAAAAGAGAGAATGGTCAACTTCTATATAACATT